CTGGAAAAAGAAGAACAGACCCACCCCAAACCCAGCAGAAGAAGTGAAATCATTAAGATCAAATCAGAAGTAAACGAAATTGACAACAGGGATACTATACGGAAGATTAGTAAAACAAAAAGTTGGTTCTTTGAAAAAATAAACAAAATCGACACATCATTGCCTAGACTAACGAAAAGCAGAAAAGAAAAATCTCTAATAAGCTCCATAAGGAACAATAAAGGAGAAATTACAACGAATGCCATGGAGATACAAGATATAATTTATGAAAACCACAAAAACTTCTATGCACACAAACTGGAAGATGTTGAGGAAATGGACAATTTCTGAGAAACACACAGCCTCCCTAGGCTCAACCAGGAAGAAATAGAATTCCTAAACAAACCAATATCAAGTACTGAAATTGAAACAGCAATGAAAAACCTTCCTAAAAAGAGAAGTCCTGGACCAGATGGTTTCACACTTGAATTTTACCACACCTACAAAGAAGAACTGGTGCCTATCCTGCAGAAATTATTCCACAACATCGAGAAGGATGGAAGCCTCCCCAACACATTTTATGAAGCGAACATGACCCTGATACCAAAACCAGGAAAGGATGCAACAAAAAAGAAAACTACAGACCAATATCCCTTATGAATATAGATGCAAAAATTCTCAACAAAATCCTAGCCAATCGAATCCAGGTGCTTGTCAAGAAAATAATTCATCACAACCAAGTGGGCTTTATCCCAGGAATGCAGGGATGGTTCAACATATGCAAATCTATAAATGTAATTCACCAAATAAACAGAAGCAAAAACAAAGACCATATGATCCTCTCAACAGACGCAGAGAAAGCATTTGACAAAATTCAACCCCCTTTTATGAAAAGAACACTCCACAAAAATAGGCATAAACGGGGCTTACCTAAAAATGACACAAGTCATATATGGCAAACCCACAGCCAATATCATACTGAATGGGGAAAAATTGAAAGCATTCCCACTTAGAACTGGAACAAGACAAAGTTGCCTACTATCTCCACTTCTGTTCAACATAGTGCTGGAAGTCCTCGCTACAGCAATCAGACAAGAGAGCAGAATTAAGGGTGTCCAAATGGGAGCAGAAGAGATCAAACTCTCACTCTTTGTTGATGACACAATATTATACCTAGAAAACCTCAAGGATGCAACCATGAGCCTCCTTGATCTGATAAATGAATTTGGTAAAGTCTCAGGATACAAAATCAATACACAGAAATCAGAGGCATTCATATATGCCAACAACAGTAAAAGTGAGAACCAAATCATAGACGCAATTCCCTTCAAAATAGCAACAAAGAAAATAAAGTGTCTTGGAATATATTTAACTAAGGAAGTAAAAGACCTCTACAGGAACGTATGAACACTGAAGAAGGAACAGCAGAGAACGTAAACAGATAGAAGAATATACCATGCTCATGGTCGTAGAATCAACATTGTAAATGTCTATACTATCCAAATGACCACAGAGTCAACGCAATCCCTATCAAAATACATCTCATTTTCACAGATATAGAAAAAATATTTATGCTTCGTATGGAACCAGAGAAGACCCCGTGTAGCAAAATCAATCCTAGGCAATAAAAACAAAATAGGAGGTATCAATTTACCAGACTTCAAACTATACTACAAGGGTATAGTCATTAAAACAGCTTTTTACTGGCACAAGAACAGGGACATTGACTGGTGGAACAGAACAGAGCATCCAGATATAAAACCATCCTCATATAACCAACTAATCTTCGACAAAGCAGACAAAAACATACACTGGGGAAAAGAATCCTTATCCAATAAATGGTGCTGGGAAAACTGGATAGCCACATATAGAAGACTGAAGCAGGATCCACACCTTTCACCTATCACAAAAATCAAATCAAGCTGGGTAACAGATTTAAACCTAAGGTATGAAACTATTAGAATTCTAGAGGAAAATGTGGAAATACTCTTCTAGACATTAGCTTAGGCAACAAATTTATGAAGAAGACCCCAAAGGCAATCAGAGCAACAGCTAAAATAAATAAATGGGACCGGATCAAACTAAAAAGCTTCTGCACAGCCAAAGAAACTGTCATGAGAGCAAACAGACAACCTACAGAATGGGAGAAAATTTTTGCATGCTACACATCCAATAAGGGGCTGATAACTAGAATCTACTTAGAATTCAGAAAACTTAGCAAGAAAAAAATCAAACAACCCTATCAAAAAGTGGGCAAAAGACATGAACAGAAACTTTTCAAAAGAAGACAGAATAATGGCCAACAAATATATGAAAAAATGCTCAACATCTCTAATCATCAGGGAAATGCAAATCAAAACCATAATGAGATATCACTTATCTCCAGTAAGAATGGCCTTTATCAAAAAGTCCTAAAACAATCAATGTTGGCGTGGATTCAGAGAGACAGGAACACTCCTACATTCCTGGTGGGACTGCAAACTAATTCAATCTGTGGAAAGCAATATGGAGATACCTCAAAGCAATACAAGCAGATCTACCATTTGATCCAGCAATTCCACTACTGCCATCTACCCAAAAGATCCAAAAGTCACTTTATGAAAAGACACTTGCACTAGAATGTTTATAGCAGCACAATTCACAATTGCAAAGCTGTGGAAACAACCCAAGTGCCCATCAATTCATGAGTGCATTAATAAAATGTGGTATATGTATACCATGGAGTACTACTCAGCTATAAGAAACAATGGTGATATAGCACCTCTTGTATATTCCTGGATACAGCTGGAACCCATTCTACTAAGTGAAGTATTTCAAAATGGAAATGGCCCCACATGTACTCACCAGCAAATTGGATTAACGGATACACCTAAGTGGACATATAGGAGTAACATTTATCGGGTGTCGGGAGGTGAGAAGGGGGGAGGAGGGACGGGTATATAAAACCACAAAAAGAAAGATGTGCAACATTTGGGGGATGGACATGCTTGAAGCTCTTACTCGAGGGGGAGGTGGCATGGCAATATATGTAATCTTAACATGTACCCCATATATGCTAAAATAAAAAATAATAATAATAAAAAAATAAATATGAACTAAAACACAAAAAAATTTCCTAGAAATCTAATGAAAGACTCTGATATAAAGGATGGAGACCAAAAGAAATAGAAAATAAACATATAAAAGTGGCTTGCAGTAAAAAAGAAGTGAACAATTTTTTAAAAATCTGTGTATTTCTCACCGAGAAGACATATTACAACTATGTAGAAAGAGCAGGGTACTATAAAAGAACATGCAGAGAAGTTAAAAATTTTTTTTTGAAATAAACTCATAGAAGGGTTTTTAAAAGATAAATTTGGCCCTGGACACAGTGCGCTCATTCCTATGATCTCAGCACTTTTAGAGGCTGAGATGGGTGGATCACTTGAAGCCAGGAATTCGAGACCAGCCTGGGCAACATAGTGTGACCCCATCTCTATAAAAAAAAATTTTTAAAATTAGCCAAGGGATCACTTGAGACCAGGAATTCGAGGTTACAGAAAGCTTCAATCCACCCTGGGTGATAGAGTAAGACTACTGTCTTAAAAGAAAAAAAAAAAAACAAAGATAAATCTGAGGAAACAGAAAGTAGAGTAAAAAATAAAAGAGATGAGTAATACTAGGGAAAAGATAAGAAAATTAAAGATCTAACATCCAAGTGGTAAGAGTCTCAAAAATATCAAGGGGAAGAAATCATCAGCTAAAGAATTGAAGAAAATTTCCCAGAACTAAAGGACAAGAAGAATTCAAAGAATCTGCAAAAACGGATAAAAAGAGACCCATGCCAAGGCAGATTATTGTGAAATACTGGGATGAATGGAAGATCCCAAAAGTTTTCAGGGTAAACAAGTCACAAAGGATAGAACTGAATGGCAGTCTTATCAACAACAATGGAAACTAGAAAACAAAGTAAAATTCTGCAGGAAAATTATTTCCAACTAGAATTCTCTACTCAAACTACCAAGCAAGTATGAGGAAAACATAGATATTTCAGTTATGCAAAGTTTAAAAACATCTATCACCTATAAAAACTTTCTCAGGAAACCATGAGGGGGATTAACACCACAAAAATGAGGGAATGAACCAAGAAAGCAGGAGACATGGAATATAGGAGGCAGGAAATCCAACATGGTGAGAGGTAAAGGAAGATCCTAGGAAGACAGTTACTTACTAGATGTAGAAAGCAACTAGTTCAGATTGGAAGCTCAAGAAGATAAAACTGATAGAACACCTAAGTGTCTGAATGAGAACTACAAAACTGGTGAGAGTACATAAACAAAAGAAACAAGACAATAATTAACTCTCAAAAGATTTTAAAAAACATCAACAGAAAAACCAAAAAAGGAACAGAAAAAGAAAAGTGATCATAGCTTACCACATGGTTCAGCTGCGAAAAGCACATTTATAATTCTAGTAATGTAAATACTACTAATGACTTAAAAACAAAATTTATATTAGAAGCCTTGGAGTATAAAAATTATATAGTGAGGGCAAAGGGAAGGAAAAAAGCATCCTCATCTCCTATAGAGAGGAATCTATAGATAATGCCAAAAACTGAAAAATCAAAAAATATAGTCATGCTGTTTTGAAAATAGAACTAATCAACTAAAGTTAAAAAGGTCAAAGTGCAGAAAAGGAAATGGGTAACCCCAAGGAGAGGGTACTTGCTTACTGTTTTTTTGTAATAATAACTTTGTAGAATTATTAGTCTCTACATAACAAGCATGCACAAAATTTTGTTAAACTATTTGATAAAAACATAACAGGATCTTTCTATAGCTTAGGATAAAAAAAGTAAAAAAAAAAAAAGAAATGAAGGGACTTATCAGAAAGAGATGTCAAATTACTCAGACTTCAGTCTTTATCAAACTGTTTTTCAAAAACTAAACCTAGAACAACGTGTATATTACTTGAATATGATTATCTACCCTGAACTATACTCTTCCAATGTGATTACAGACAGGGAATTTTCGAAATCTTACCTCAAGGAGAGCTGCTGCAGGATCACCCTGTAGACTTTTTCCCAGTTTGTCAACCTCATCTAATAGGAACACTGGATTGTTAACCCCAACAGTCTTCAAGCCATTGATTATTCGACCAGGCATACTGCCGACATAGGTGCGCCTATAGAAAGCAAGCAGCAAGTTCACAACATGTCAGGAGGCAAGAGCGATACCAGTAGAAATCAAAAAGGTACTATATATTTAAAAGGCACTGTGATACACCAAAAAGTTGTTATTATTTTAAATTGTCAGTAGTAGAACGATCCACCCTTTTTACTTACAAAGGTTGAATAGAAACCTACTATATTTCTCTAGGACATTTAAAAAGAGTTATCTTCACCTTGAGAAGAAACTGAATAAAAATAAATGTCCACAACAAGTTATTAGATTCAATTCTAATTTTACTTTCTATTTAAATTCTGGCTGCAAGTTGCCCATGATACTAGAAGAACTATATCTCATTTTTGCCATTTAGTGAAATAGAAAAACACTAAAGTTACCAGTTATGGTTTTTACTCTTCAAGGTTCCAAAATGTCCAAAGGACCTTATGAATTTAATTCCCGTGCTTTTCGTGGTTTTTCAGAGCATCCCTCTCCACCTCCAACACAATGAATGATCTTTTTACATGCTGAAATGTCTGCCCCAGGGCTGGTTAAAACATTTCCATCTTCACAAAGGAGATTAAAATTAGCTGAAGGGCCACTCAGAATGTAGACCTCCCCCCTACCCCCAAAAAATCCAAACTCTTTTATTTTAAGAGGCAATAATCTGTTATTAATTGTATTACATTGGTGCAAGGGTAATTGCAGTTTCAGCATTGTTGAAATTTGCCATTTGATATTGGAATACATTCTTAAATAAATGTGGTTGTTATAAATCATTTTAATGCACATTTCTCACTCTTTTTGCTGATGACTTATTACTTGCTATTTATTTTATATTTGTTTTAGACTAGGAGATGATGTTAGACAAAAAGCAAATTTGAGCAATTTTCTTATTTGAGTTCAAAATGGGTCATAAAGCAGCAGAGACAACTGGCAACATCAACAAAGCATTTAGCCCAGGAACTGCTAACGAACTTACTGGGCAGTGGTGGTTCAAGAAGTTTTGCAAAGGAGACAAGAACCTTGAAGATGAGTGCAGTAGCCAGCCATTGGAAGTTGACAACCACCAATTGAGAGCAATCACTGAAGCTACAGGAGAAGTTACACATGAACTCAACATCGACCATCCTACGGTCGTTTGGCATTTGAAACAAATTGGGAAGATACGAAAGCTCTGTAAGTGGGTGCCTCATGAGCTGATCGAAAATCAAAAAAATCATCGTTGTGAAGTGTTGTCTTTTCTTCTTGTATGCAACAACAATGAACCATTTCTCAGTGAGATTGTGATGTGCCATGTAAAGTGGATTTTATACGACAACCAGCTGAGTGACTGGAACGAGAAGCTCCAAAGCACTTCCCAGAGCCAAACCTGTACCAAAAAAAGGTCATGGTTACTAGTTGGTGGTCTGCTGCCAGTCTGATCCACTACAGCTTTCTGACTCCCAGTAAAACCATTACATCTGAGAAGTATGCTCAGCAAATCAAATGAGATGCACTGAAAACTACAATGCCTGCAGCCGGCATCAGTCAACAGAAAGGGCCCAATTCTCCACAACACCTGACAAGTAGCAAAACCAATGCTTAAAAAGTTAAAGGAATTAGGCTATGAAATTTTGCCTCATTCACCACATTCATCTGACCTCTCGCCAACCAACTACCACTTCTTCAAGAATCTCGACAACTTCTTCAGGGAAAATGCTTCCACAACCAGCAGGATGCAGAAAATGCTTTCCAAGAGTTCTTCGAATCCCGAAGCATGGATTTTTACACTACCAGAATAAACAAACCTACTTCTCGTTGGCAAAAATGTGTTGATTGTAATGGTTCCTATTTTGATTAATAAAGATATATCTGAACCTAGTTATAATGATTTAAAATTCATGGTCCAAAACCACAATTACTTTTGCACCAACCTAATAGTAGAGGATCTCCAGTCAACAGTGTTTATATCAACATTCCATAATTCTGGCCTTTTGAATAAAACTGTATTTATCTCATAAACACTAATTGGCACAACCAAGTTCAGCCTGATATTTTGGTGAACATTTAAAATGTTAGGGGCTGCTTTATCATGTATGAACAAGAATCACTCATGAAATTGTGACAGATGTAGAATGTGGCATGAAATAAAAACAAATATGTCTATCAAACTGAAAAAAAACATGCCTTTTTTTTTTTTTAACAGAGCTGGAAAAACTTTACTTTAAGCAGCAATTTACTAATTTTAATTACAACCCCGTTGCCTAAGTCATGCATAAAGGCATAAAAGGCTGACTGCCTAGAAGAAAATGATCTATGATAAGTGGAACAGCAGCAGATATAATTTCATGATCTGCACAAAGTTGATTCACAGAGCAGGCCTCAATTCTGCCACATGACTTGTATAAAGTAGGACAGAATAAACAGAGTGACCTTTGAAAAGACAAAAGAGCCTTGAAAATACCGTGGGAATGCCTTTCATCCAGAGGTGATCAAGTTATTGGAACCAGATACAATACTGTCCTGTTACAATAAGGAATTAGTACATTCAAGATTTCAGAATGAGATACAGGAAGGATGAGACTCAAAATTAATAAATTCTTTCAAACTGTTTCTCTAGAGAACTTGCAGATTTGCCATCACTCCTATTTTTAGGAGTGTTAGGGCAGGCAAGTTTTTTAAGAATCTCAAAGACTCCACGGGTCATTTCTTGCTGCAGTAATTTATTTACCTTTCCTTTTTTGATGGGGAAACTTCAAAAACAAGTATTGACAATTCTAGACCTAAAGTTACGGAGAGAAAATAATATTCTATGGAGGCACCTTTTCCAAAAAAATCCAGAAAATTTCTTTTTGGTCACACTGTATATAAGCAATTCCTCCTAAACATTCTAACTGTTTTCTAGAGCCTAGAGAATAAGGTCCAAACTCCTCTGTCTGGAGTTCAAGGGTCTTCACAGTCCACGCCTCATCAGCCTTCACAGCTTGCTGCTATGACTCTCTTGTTTCGTCCACAGTCAAGATCCGATTAAACCCCTTACACTTTTACCTTTGTTTATACGGTTTCTTCCTGCCCTTAATTCTCTCCCAGCCTATATAAATCCCAACATTCTAAGAAACTTTTCTTGACTATCTCTCACAAAGTGATTGTTCCAATAATGCACTGTCTACCACATTTTCTGGCCCTATAGTTCATCTGATGCACACTTATAACCTCGTTTTTTACTCATGGGCACTATTCCCTTCTCTAAAGAGCCAAATGAGCACTTTGATGGTAGCGACTGAACCTTGTCACAGAACAGATGCTGGATACAGAGCTGTAAGGACTGTTTCCCTCTTTCTATCACCACTGTTCAGGTGATACAAGCCTTTGAACACTACTCTGTGCAAATTACTTGACCTCGTCTATAAAATGGTGATGATAATAGCACCAGCCTCCTGGATTACATGAGGATTATGAGAGAACATAGGTAAAGCACAGAGGATAGAGCCTAGTACATAGTAAGCTTAAAGGATGTTAACTGTTACTAGTAACAGCTACTTAAAGTCTACTTCTGGTTTCTTAGAAAAAGTACAAATGCAGAAATCAATATATATGAATTTGAGTCCCATTTCAATTTCTGCCTCATGGAAGTGACTTTTACAAATGTATTTAATAGCACCAAGCATGCTCAATGCCTTTAGTGTTCCTCTTTTTCTGGTTATTAAAAGAAAAGAACTTCTAATTTGTCAGAAACCACTCTAGAAATGTAAGTCAATATCTTCTATATGCTGAGTTTGTTTGAAAATGTTTTTTCTATTCAGAACTATCTTTTTTTTTTTTTTTTTTGAGACAGAGTCTCAACTCTGTTGCCCTGGCTAGAGTGCCTTGGCAACAGGCTAGCTCACAGCAACCTCAAACTCCTGGGCTCAAGCAATCCTCCTGCCTCAGCCTCCCAAGTAGCTGGGACTACAAGCATGCACCACCATGCCCAACTAACTTTTTTAATATATATTTTTTAGTTGTCCAGCTAATTTCTTTCTATTTTTTAAGTAGAGATGGGGTCTCGCTCTTGCTCAGGCTGGTCTCAAACTCTTGAGCTCAAACGATCCGCCTGCCTCAGCCTCCCAGAGTGCTAGGAATACAGGCGTAAGGCACCGCGCCCGGCCCAGAACTATCCTTTGCCAGAAGGTACAATACCATGCAATTCACTAACTGAAGATAAAGAAATTACTTTGAATAAATCTGTGGAATAGAATATGAAATAAGATGGTGAAAAATGTAGCAATACACAAAGTAAAATGTTCTCTTTCAATATCACTGAACAACTGCAACCATTTTGTAACAAATTAACATACCAAAATATCCTCCTGAGAAACTTCACAGGTAGAAAATAAATGAAACTAGTACTCTTTAACAACCTATAGTTTTCTTAAGGGCAAAACATTAATCTTTTCTATATTCTGCTTCCCCTTGATATAGTATCTGGAAAGCAACAGTATAATACAGTAAAGTTTACAAAGAATATATCATTTTAGGAACGTATTATTCAGCCTAAATATAAGATTACCTAAAATTTTTTCTTACAATTGAAGTATGCATGTTAATTTAAAAATACATAAAATTCATACTTTTCTTATAATTATTGCAGGCAATACACAGATTTATCAGGACTATTCAACTAGTGTGTAAGATACACAAAACCAAAACTGTCTACATAGTTCAAACTTTTGAGTTATAAAATCACTATTTTTCATCTTCCAAAAAATAGTCTGGTTTATGCTTCAAAAAACAACTACAGAGAATTATAACATGACCTGTTTACAGCCCCATGATAATCAACTACTTTTTACTGTTCTGCTCTCCACCTAAATATCTTAGAATCTAATGTAATCCAAAAGGCTGGTCAACCTGTTACTGTCAATGCCATCTAAAAATTAGGAATAAAATATGGCTTCGCTCACCTCTTTTCCAAGTATGTAAAGAAGAGAGAAAAACACCGGCATTTAACTATCAGTTTTTTCTGTCTATTCAATTAAAGGGCTCTTATTGGATATAATGCAAACTTTTAAAGTGATATTTACAAATAATTTGTAATATAAAAAAATGTTTATGTGATATAAGAAAGGGTAGGATTACAAGTCTATTGCTTAAAACCCAATAAAAAGTCTGGCAGAAAAGAAACAACATGTTAACTGATTATATTTGTATGGTAAAAATAATAAATGGGGACTTTTACCTTTCTTATTTTTCAAATTTTCTACCAAGGCAGGTGTGTGTGTGTTGTGTGTGTGTGTATGTTTGTCTCTAATTGGAAAAAGTCATCAGTTTAACAAAGATCCAATGATCTTGCAAAGAAAAATAGTCTTTAAGGAACTGAGATTTTAATATAACATGTCTAAACAAATCCAATTGTTATTCTTTTAGCAGTCATTCCTAAATCTTTTTATAGACTAATTTATATGGATGTACTCATCTGAAGGACAGCATGACTTCCAAAATATAATTATGTTTTAATCTTAGATGAATTCTCAAAACACTTAGCATTTACCATGTTTAACACTGTGCTAAATAAGCATCATGGGTATATACAAAGGAGTATAAGATATATGATAAATTCCCTGACTGATAATGCTTGTACTTTTTATATATGTATTTATGTTTTATATACACAGTTGTATGTTAGAAATGCCAAAGGCCTATATTACTTAATCATTAAAGGAGTACAATAGACAGTAAGTGGTCAGTTTACATGAGTAAGATCATAACTGATTACACTTATATTAAGAGGGGAAGCTCTGGGTTAGGACCTTAAAATAAAACTAAATTTTAGGCAAAGAAAAGCTATATTCAAATCTATAAGGAGGATGGTGAGCAAACCATAATATGTCTGATATCCTATGCTAAAAAAAATATTAAAAGCTTGCTGCTTCAGTTATTTTTCCCTTGAAGAGACTAATAATGAAATAGTTAATTTATTTTATTAACAAAATGAAGTTATACTTCATTTTGGATTGCATATGAAAATTAATCAATGTGAAAATCATAAGTTTGTTTTTCTTATCATCTTGTTTGAAAATTGAGCCAAGGATTCCTTGTAATAATAATAATTTTATTATCTGAACAAACAGCTGATAAAGTACTTCCAGAGGGTTAATATCAACAGTGATTTGAGATATATCATAATATATCTCAAGGAATCCTTGCCAAGGATTCCTTGTAATGACATAATTTGATTATGTGAAAAATAGCTAGTAAAGTACTTCTAAGAGTTAATATTAACAGTGACTTGAGATATATTTAATGTATCATAATAAGCATATTATTTCTTTTTACCAATAAATAAGAAAAAGTGGTGATTATGCAAACATGGATTTTATAAAACTGAAACCTAAAAGAAGTTATTTTATGTTTAATTTTTGTGAATTGATTTAAATTACTAAAATGTAACATTTAAATTTAACAATTTAAGTTGTAAAAACTGATAGAAGAGAACAGGTATTTTGTAGTTTGTAGACAGAAAAATCCCAATGGAGATAACCTCAAATGAGAAATGTTGAGAAGACTGAAAAACTGAATGAGTTAATATGCAACATAAACACTTTTCTTCCTTTAAGCCACTCAAAATAATATAAATAAAAACACTGAGCAAATATTAGTCAGATCATTATCATTTCCCCAGTCTAAGATTTAAATGTAAACCAAGCCTTTCTTTTTCTTCATCATCTCCCACCTCATTACCATTTAACTCAAACAAATATCTTTGGCTGTTCTTAAAACCAATTCCTACATGTTAGCACCTTCCTTCACAGAAGTAGGTACTTCTAGCAAAAGGCTGGAGGTCCACACATGGGAAAATAAGGAAGTGAGTGACAAAAATGGAGAGAATAAGCAAGGAAGATAACATAAAGCAGCTCTGCTTTTTCTGTGGCTATTTAAAAACTGCAGAACAGTGATGTCTACTCAGAGACTGAGGAAAACAAAACTTTTCATGAACTCTCATTATGAGCACATGACCAATACTAAAATGTCAAGACCTGGGTGTCTCCTGAATGCCTCAATTGTCACATGGAACCACGTGTTCCCACAGATGCCACCCACAGTTGTGCTGTGACCCTCTACTGTTCTTCCTCCCTCCTACTCACCTTTACTTCATACACATACACACATACTCCGCCTTCACTCTCACCTTTTCTTCACAAGTGCACCCCATCGCTCTCCACATGCTTCCAAACAAGTTCTCAAATAAAAAATTTTACCAGACTTACTTTAATTTAGGGGGTAGGTGGTAGTAAGTCCCTAACAGCACAAGAGTAAGTAGTGTTTAATGAATGATCCGGTACAATGATGGCTAGGGAATACTTACCAACAATGTGTATCTAAAATCAGGTTTATAGAATGATTCACAAAACAAATCCAGATACTATCTATCTATCTATCTATCTATCTATCATCTATCTATCTATCTATCTATCTATCTATCTATCTATCTATCTATCTATCTATCTATCTATCTATCTATCTATTATTTTGAGATAGGGTTTAGCTCTGTCACCCAGGCTGGAGTCCAGTGGTATCGTGAGACCTCACCGTAATCGCAAACTCCTTGGCTCAGGTGATGCTCCTGTCTCAGCTTCCCCAGTAGCTGGTGGGACTATAGGCATAAGCCACAATGCTGAGGTAATTTTTGGTTTTTGTAGAGACAGGGTCTCATTCTTGCTCAGGCTGGTCTCGAACTCCTGAGCTCAAGTGATCTTCCCACCTTGGCCTCCCAGAGGGCTAGGATTACAGGCGTGACTGCCTGGCACTAGATACCTTTTATTTGGCAATGATCATAGCCTCAAGATACATATTTCTAAAAAACTTAAATTTACAAACATTTTGGGCAACAGTGATTGTAACATAACCTCCTTTTACAAAAGACTCATAAAGTAAATTCTTATTTTTCCTCAGACTTAATTTTCTTTTCCTTTCCTTTTTCAGAGACGGGGTCTTGCTATGTCACCCAGGATGGTCACAAAATCCTGGCCTCAAGTGCCCCTCCCACCTCCCAAGTTGCTGGAGGAGTTAGAAGTATAGGCACACACCACCATACCCAGCTTATTTTGCTTTTAAAATTTTTTCAAAGATGAGGTCTTGCTATGTTAGACTCAATATTTTTACAATAGTCACATACAAAAGTATACTTAATTGAAAAAGAATGAACAAATTGTCAGTAAAGATTTAATACCGAGATCTGTTTAAAACTGACAATGTTGACATTGTGAGAACCATGACATTATACTTGTCTATCACTAGGCAATAGAAAAACACATTTTCCACAATTCTGCTATATAAACTAAGTAATAATGCTGAGAACAGGATAAATATTTTAGAATGCAATGTAAAAATGAGATTGAAGTTTATAAAAAGTCATACTGAAGCTTGTACATCTAAACTTGTCCTCCTGAGAATTTAGAATTAAAGTAATAATAATAATTAAAACTAATTTTTAGTGAATGCTCACTGTGTACCAACTATCTAATAAGACTTACTGAATAATAAATACCAGTGTGGGAAGAAATAAAGACAATTAGGTACATGTTATATGCCTAAGACATCAATTAATGTCACATAACATTAATTACACAAACTCATCCTTTAAACCCCATCAAATACTTACACGATACAACACGTAAGAAAAGAAATAAATTAGAACAACTCAGGGTATGAATCAAGTCACTTGAAGGAAGAACACCTCCTAAAAGCTCTGTAGCTAAAATTAAAAGATTTAGGCCCCAGACTCAGCTTCTCCAAGGTTAGTCCAAGAGTGATAATGGCAATTTCTTTATAAAAGCAAACCACAGCCTCTAGTGGCACATGTAAGAATAAGATCGTCCAAGCAACAAAAATATCTTTCAAAACTACCAGAAGGAATCACCCAAATCAATTCTCTACTCTGATCTGCAACCCTCATTGTTCATTTACTAAAATCTTGGAATGATTCTTTTTTTTATGCGTAAGAATTGTAAGTGAGCAAATAAAAGATAATAGAAATAACCATTTCTCACAGAAAAGTTTCTAAAACAGTCTTTGAATAAGGCAAATGGAAAATATGGAAATAAGGCAAATGGAAAATAATATAAAAAGCATATGCTTTTATAAGCAGTTTACAGTTTCTGCATTTTTAAATGTTCTACATTTTAAAATGTTCTTTAACATGTACGCTATAGGTATATTTCTCAAAATTTGCAACTGCTATGAAACCCTTAAACCATGAAATGTAAGTTCATGCTTTCCTAGGTATCTTCCAATCATATAAACAAAGACCAGGGAGAATAAAACAATGAACATAACATGCAAATATTGAGTCTACTAAAGTCAGATTAAACAGATACAAAGTTCTTACAGTTTAATATGTTATTTACAGAAGTGAATCCATAATGCAAGGATAAACCTTGTTAATTACACTAATGTTTCTCATTATTGCTCATTTTCATAATACAAACCAGCCTTTAGAAAAGGAATTTGAAACTGTAACCAGAACAAATTTGTTACCAAACATTTCTTAACTTCTCTATCTGTCCTACCTATTGCAGTTATTTTTTAAAACTCTAAGAGTTATGGGCCATTATTTATGGAATGCTACTGAGCTAAAAAGAACAGACATTATAATATCCAATCATAAATAATTTATAATTACATTCAAATGGATTCTAGGAAAGCTGAGGCACAGACTAGCTATACACTGTCATACAAATGTCAAGGTTAGTTTGGGTATACCATTATTGCTTACAGGCTCTAGGCTAGCTAATAAGTCTTGTAAATGTCCTTTCCATTAAAAGTACCATAAACAGCTCTTTAAGAAAAATAGATATATGTTATGCCTCAGCTTTTCTTTGGGCTTTAGTCAATTAAAAGTTAAGAAGAATCAGAGATTAACCTGAGAGAAGTATTCTACCTGTGTCCTCGGATGTCAGACTGATCGCATACTCCTCCAAGTGCAATCCTGTGGAACTCCCGACCTAGGGTCTTGGCCACTGATCTTCCCACACTAGTTTTGCCAACTCCAGGAGGGCCAACAAAGCAAAGAATTGGGCCCTTCAGGTTATTTTTCAGCTGTCTGACAGCCAAGTATTCCAGCACTCTTTTCTTCAATTTTTCCATGGCATAATGGTCATTATCCAGAAGAATCCGGGCTGCCCGAATGTCCAGGCGGTCTGTCAAATAATCCAACAAAAAATAATTTGAGCACATGGAATTTTCAAGTGAAAGAACTCCTTACAAGTCTGACAAGAGCCAAAATATTTTTTAGAAAAAAGATGTGATAACAGATTTTCATCCTTCTAAATAAGTCTTGAAAGAGACCTGCATCTGGTTTTTCTGCTTAAGATTTCATGTCTTCAGAGATAATAGGCACTATACAATTAAAAACTCGATGCTCATTCATTTAATTTGGAATGATTTTCTAGATATACATTATTTCTTATGGAGACACAATTTCTATATATCTATTTGTGCAGGCATTTGCTCTTCTTTTTTTTTTAAAAAAAGGTATTTTTGTTCTTATTACAGTATTAATATCTGTTCATTCCAGAAAACCTGATGACACTAATAAAAAAGAAGAAAATAGTTACCCATACTCTCATGCCCCTAAGAGACACTACTTTTATTTTGGTATGTGTTATTCCAGGTTGTATGTATACATTTACATATCTATTTTTCAAAATGGGATTTTATGAAGCTTTTGGGTTTTGTAAAATGTTTTTTCACTTAATATATTACAGATCACTTTCAGTGCCACATGTATTCTTCACAGTAACATTTTATGGTTACTTAATATTCCATTATTTAATTGTCTAGATTAATTTAACATTTAATTCCCTTTTGCTGGGCATTTAGGTTGTTTACAAATCTTTACAGTTATAAAGCATATTGTGCATCACTGTAACTAAATCTCTGCATATATCTGTAATTATTTCCTTCAGTTAATCTTCTATCAATGGAAGTACTAGGTAAAAAAACTAACAAACAAAAAAGGCATAAAGAATTCAGGGCCAGAGTATGAAGGCTCATGCATGTAATCCTAGCACTCTGGGAGACCAAGGTGGGAGGATTACTTGAGTTCAGGAGTTTGAGACCAGCCTGAGCAAGAGCAAGATCCCTGTCTCTACTAAATACAGAAAAAAAAACAAAAGAAAAGAAAATTAGCCAGGTGTCATCCCAGGGCAATAGAGCAAGACTCTGTGCCCATCCCCCCAAAAAAGTATGGCCTAGTTAATTAGTTCCATCCAGAAAAGTTGTATTAATTAAAGTCTTACCAGAAGGGCATGAGTTTGGCTTTGTTTCTAGAGCCAAGCTTTCACCAGGTTTACCAAAGTGCTTTAGCACTCAAAATACTCATAAACACCAGGTCACAGAAGCCAAAATGAACTCACCAGCTGGTTGGCTGCCAGGAGACAATACACAGCCACATGATCATACTGACATTGAAAGAAGATAGGAGAAAGAAATATACTCAAGTTCATTATTTTAAATAGTTATTTAGAATATGCTATGGATTTTTTTTCTTTTCTTTTTTTGAGACAGGGTCTCACTCTGTCGCACAGGCTAGAGTGCAGTGGCATCATCATGGCTTGCTGCAGCCTCAAAACTCCTGGGTTTAAATGACCCTCCTGCCTCAGCCTCCCATGTAGCTTGAACTGCCAACATGTATCACACCTGGTTAACATTTATTCTTTTTCTCTCTTTCTCTCTCTTTTTAGAGATAGGGTCTTGCTCTGTTGCTCAGGATACAGTGGAGTGGCATGATAACTCATGGCAACCTCAAACTCCTTGGCTCAAGCAATCCTCCTGCCTCAGCCTCCTGAATAGCTGGGACTACAGGCGTCTACCATCACACCAAGCTAATTTTTCTATTTTTTGTAGAGACGAGGATCTCACTTATGTTTACTCAGATTGGTCTTGAACTCCTGTCCTCAGCAACACTCCTGCCTCGGCCTCCTAAAATACTAGGCATTGCTTCTTAATACAGGCATGAGCTTCTTAAAGGAAGAAAAATGGCCTTAAATGGTAATTTCATTCCAAAGCTAGTCCATAAAAACCAGGCTAAGCAGTATTTTATCTAATTTAATGATAGTACTATTGATTTTAGAGTCCTAGGTGAATGATTTGGAAAGGGAAAAATAAAATGTCTTCCCATTTTTTTGGCTTCCAGAACTCAACCAATGAATATATGAATAAGTGAAAGATAACAAGTTTCCCAACTGTTTCACAACAATTTTAATCCTGACACTAAAACATACCACAGTAAACACAAAGGAAAACTTCAGACTAATCCCATTTTGTATAGCTTTAAATATTAAAATGCTAGCAAATCAAATCTATTGTAAGAATAATCTACTAAATCTCAGTGGGATGTATTTTAGTTACACAAAGATGGCTCAATGTTAGATTATCAATATGTTCATTACATCACCATGTCCAAGGGGATAAATTTTCCATCAAAATATTATTTTGTACCTAAAAAGGTACTTGTTATAATGCATCATCCATCCTGATTAACACATTCAGTAAGCTAAGAACAGAATTCTAGGTAATTTAGAAAAGAATAAAAACATTGTGAAGGAGTTTCTTCTAAGAAATATGCCAAGTAGGCCGGGCGCAGTGGCTCACACCTGTAATCCTAGCACTCTGGGAGGCCGAGGTGGGTGGATTGCTCAAGGTCAAGAGTTCAAAACCAGCCTGAGCAAGAGCAAGACCCGTCTCTACTATAAATAGAATGAAATTAATTGGCCAATTAATATATATAGAAAAAATTAGCCGGGCATGGTGGCGCATGCCTGTAGTCCCAGCTACTCAGGAGGCTGAGGCAGAAAGATTGCTTGAGCCCAGGAGTTTGAGGTTGCCGTGAGCTAGGCTGACGCCATGGCACTCACTCTAGCCTGGGCAACAAAGCGAGACTCTGTCTCCAAAAAAAAAAAAAGAAATATGTCAAGTAAAGATAATTTTAAAAGTTCTTTCAATCTTTTAAGGAAAGGTAATTTCCATACTATATAAATTATTTTTTCTATCTTTTCTATATAGGATATATTATTCTTTTTAATGATTTAGAAAGCATGCTTCTCATTTTGAATAACAGTTACATGTAAAAAAAATTAAAACTTACTTGAACATAAATTTCTTTATTTACAATTTGAAGACTGGCTCCTCTTATTTAAGATGAGAAAATTAGCAAACGTATTTTCTACAACTCTTTCCTCTCTGTTTTCAATTAATACCTCAGATCTCTACTTGGTTAGGTTAGCTTCTCTATTAAGAATTATAAATGACATTTTCATGGTTTTATAACCATATTCACAACAATTATCTAGACCTAATTCTATATAGTAATGGTTTAGGAGCTCAACACGACTCATTTTATACCAAAATTTATTTATCTTTAGTTTTTGTTGAAATGCTAAACAATGAGAAATATTTTCATGATGTTCCTACAAGTTATATGAGGCAAAAAACAAAAAAAAGAAAACAGAAAAAAATTTTCATGATAGATACATGGGTGCTATACATCTCTAATGCTGATACACATGGCATCTTAGAGTCCCAAGAAATATTTCGTTTCAAATAAAAGGCAGTATTTTGTCATGACATGCACACAGGAACTAAATTAAGAAATAAATTTACCACTATAGTTCATAGCAACTTTATTTCTAATAGTCAAAAAACTGGAAACAACCCTAATATCCATCAACAGGTGAAAGAGGATAAACAAATTATGATACATCCATATATTATAATACAGCCCCAGCAATAAACACAATCCCAATTACAATAGCATCAAAAAGGATAAAATACTTAGATATAAATTTAACCAAGAAGGTGAAAGGTTTATACCAGGGGTCCTCAAACTTTTTAAACAGGGGGCCAGTTCACTGTCCCTCAGACCATTGGAGGGCCGGACTATAGTTTAAAAAAAACTATGAACAAATTCCTATGCACACTGCACATATCTTATTTTAAAGGAAAACAACAAACGGGCAAAAACACCCGCGTGTGGCCTGCGGCCATAGTTTGAGGACGCCTGGTCTATACACTGACCAATGTTTTATAGTTATATACATTGATGAAAGAAACAATAAAACATTGATGAAAGAAATTAGATACAAATAAATGGAAAGATATTCCATGTTCACAGACTAGAAGAATATTGTTAAAATGTCCAAAGTATCCAAAGTGACGTACGTATTCAATACAATCCTTATCAAAATTCCAATGGCACTTTTCATAAAAATGGAAAAGAAAATCCTAAAATTCATATGGAATCACAAAAGATCCTGAATAGCCAAATCAATCTTAGGCAAGAACAACAAAGCTAGAAGCACCATACTTTCTGATTTCAAGTTACATTACAAGGCTACAGTAATCAGCAAGTATTGTTGTGGCACAAAACAGACACAAAGACCAACGGAACAGAATTGACAGCCCAGACCCATACCTACTGGGTCAACTAATTTTCAATGGGAGAACCATAAATATACATAGGGAAAGGAGTCTCTTCAAATAAATGTTGGGAAAATTGGATATCCACATGTGTAACAATGAAATTGGACCCTTAACTTATATCATACATGAAAATTAATTTAAAATGTATTAGAGACTTAAACATAAGATCTGAAAATGTAAAACTCCTAAAAAACAACAACAAAAACATATAGAAGAAGGATCTCTGGCCAGGCATAGTGGCTCACACCTGTAATCCTAACACTCTGGTAGGCCAAGGCAGGAGGATCCTTTGAGTTCAGGAGTTCAAGACCAACCTGAGCAAGAACAAGACTCGGCCTCTACTAATAGAACAATTAGCCAGGCATGGTGGCATGCACCTGTAGTCCCAGCCATTTGGGAGGCTGAGGCAGGAGGATCGCTGAAGCCCAAGAGCTTGAGGCTACAGTGAGCTATGATGACATTACGGCACTCTAGCCTGGGTGACAGAGTTAAGACTCAGTCTCAAAAAACAAATTAAAAAAAGAAGAAGAAGAAGAAGAAAAAAAGAATAAGGACCTTGATATTGGTCTAGGCAATGATTTTTCTGGATATGACAACAAAAGCAAGGCAACAAAAGCAAAAATGAGCAATCCAACTAAAAAGCTTCTGTATAGCAAAATGAAAAGGCAATCTATGGAATGGGAGAAACTATTTGCAAACCATATATTTAATAAGAGGT